ACTACTCAAGGGCCCCCCCCTGGCTATAGGGGCCTCCTGGACTAACAAGGGCCCCCCCCCCTGGACTCCCTCCTTCTCCTCCTCCTCCTCCTCTTCCTCCTCCTCCTCGTCCTCCTCCTCTTCCTCATCGTCGTTGCGCTCCTCCTCCTCCTCATCCTCATCTTCTCCTCTCCTTCGGCGTCACCCCAACATACTTATACTATATGTGCGTCGCTCCCCCAGGGGCGACGCGCGCACCGAGAAATCTTATATAGTATATGCGTCGTGGCGGGCGCTTTCTGGCCTCGCCGCTCGGGATACTATATGCTACAAGATGGGTATACTATATGTTCGGGTCGGACGCGCGCCTCCAAGGAGGACATGTAGCATCAGTATGACTCTGTGCGTCCCACTCCTCCTCCTTAAGCAGCACCCCCCCACACACACACACACTTCTCTGAGCGCACCCGAGCATCGAGCATGGCAAAGAGACGGCGGGGGCAACATCTACACCCCGTGCACCGGTTCTGGCCAGGCCCGCCGCGTGCGCCCATTCAGGAGGGCGTATCACATATATATATATATATATATACACACACATATATATTTACACATATATAGCGATTCTGGGCCCGGGATAGGCCCAGCCAGGATCGGTGCGATTAGATGTGCGGTCAGGGATTTGGGCTTCACATGTCGTTCCGCCGGCTCGGTCCTGCCACGCTTCGGCGCGGCACGCCGACGATCTACTGGTCCCCGAGCGTGGGCTCCCGAGCCTTTCCCGACCTCCCGCCCCGCGGAGCGGGGCAGCACGCTCTCCGCTCGCCAGGTGTAGCGTGCCACCGGGGCCGCCTCCGCGACGCGCTGGGCAAACTTCTTGGCCGTACAGACAACCGATCCTGGCGCAGCCGCCAGAGCCGCCGCTGCCACCGCCGCCGCCGACGACGACGACGACGCCGATCGGACGGGGCTAGGACGAGGGTAAGTCCTCTCCAGAGCATTCTGGAGCGCTCTGAGCGCAGTCTGGAGCACTCTGAGAAGGCCACGGCGCCCCAGGCATCCTCTGACGCCGCTGGTTCCCAGACATTCTCGATGTATGCTCACCCGATTTTATCCTCGTCATGGCTTCGTCCTCGACGGCGGCGACGCCGACGACGACGAAGACGACGACGACGACGCCGACTTACGCCGACGACGACGACGCCGACGCTGACGACGACGATGACGACGACGATGCCGACGACGACAACGACGACGACAACGACTACGACGCCGACGACGACGACGCCGACGCTGACGACGACGACGACGACGACGATGCCGACGACGACAACGACGACGACAACGACTACGACGCCGACGACGACGCCGACGATCACGCCGACGCTGACGACGACGATGACGACGACGATGACGACGACGACGACGACGACGACGACGACGACGACGACGACGACGACGACGACGACGACGACGACGACGACGGCGGCGGCGGCGGCGGCGGCGACGGCGGCGGCGGCCACGACGACGCTAGCGCGCGCTCTCAGGACCGAGAAGAGGGAGAAGGATGAGGAGAAGGAGGAGGACCGAGGAGGAGGATGAGGAGGAGGATGCGGAGGACCTTGCAGGAGGAGGATGAAGAGGAGGAGGAGGAGGAGGAGGAGGAGGAGGAGGAGGAGGAGGAGGAGGACGAGGAGGACGAGGAGGACGAGGAGGAGGAGAGGGAGGAGGAGGAGGTGAGGAGGAGGAGGACGAGGAGGAGGAGGAGGAGGAGGAGGAGGACGAGGGGGGAGGAGGAGGAGGAGGAGGAGGAGGAGGAGGAGGAGGAGGAGGAGGGGAGAGGAGGAGGAGGAGGAGGAGGAGGGAGGAGGAGAAGGAAGGAAGAGGAGGATGAGGTGGAGGAGAGGAGGAGGAGGAGGAGGAGCACGAGCGCTCAGGACCGAGCTCGCCTCGCGAGGCGGGGCCCCCCCGCCGCGGAGGCTGAGATTAGGGGCGGCGCCGCCACCAACCCCGGGGGGGTGGGGGGCGGCGCCTGCTCGTCGGCGTTGGTGTCCTCCTCGTCCTCCTCCTCGGCCTCCTCGTCTTCCTCGTCGTCGTCCTCCTCTTCTTCTCCTCCTCTTCTTTCTCCTCCTCCTCCTCTCTCCTCCTTCCTCGTCCTCCTCCTCCTCCTCCTCCTCCTCCTCTCCTCCTCCTCCTCTCCCCCCTCTTTCATCTCCTCCTTTCGTCCTCCTCCTCCTCCTCCTCCTCCTCCTCCTCTTCAAGAAGAGGGCGAGAGGTGAGTGAGATTGCATATCGCTTGCGCTGTTGTCACGGGCCCCGCCGGGGGCCGCGTGCCCTGAAGGGGTCCCGATCGGCCCGTGCTGCCTTGTGAAGTGTGCGAGAGCCACTGTACAGTTATGTTGGAGTTTTCGAGTGCAGAATGCAGCGGCATGTTGCTGTTGCTGAATGTTTGCATGGCTCCCGCTCAGAGTACAGCTATATTGTGCAAACATGCTAGTTGTGTAGCATCAGGGATGGCACGGACTCCTTGAGCTGGTCTTGGTCTTGGTCTCCTCTTTGTCCTCCTCCTGCTCCTCCTCCTCCTCCTCCTCGGTCCTCCTCCTCCTCCTCGGCCTCCTCGTCTTCCACGTCCCCAGAGATCCCAGGATATGCTTTTTCAAATGCGGCGATTTTGTTTTGGATTTCGGCCTCCAGGGCCCGCTATCGGGCCTGGGGACCATCGAAAAGAGTTGTTTTGAGATTCAGGCAGTTTTCTTGCATGGCGTTCGCCCCCCCCTCCCGTCCTCTCGCCCCTCTTCACACCAACACTGGCGTGCAAGTGCCTTTCGGCTTGCGTGGTTTCCGAACGTGCAAGTTGTTTACGACTTGCTTCAGGTTCAGGCCCCCCCCGTCCATGCAAGTAAACTTGCCGGAGTCAAACGAACACACGCTCCCTCCTGGTCCTCCTCCTCCTCCTCGGCCTCCTCGTCTTCCTCGTCTCTAGAGGCCCGAGGATATGACTTTTTACTTTGCTTAAATCCGGCGTCTGTTCCTGGATTTCGGCCTCCGGCGTCCGCTATCGAGCCCGGGGACCATCAGACATATGGATCCAGGGCGAAGCCCCCCCCGCAGGGAAGGGGCCGGGCCCTGCGGGGCCGCGGATTGCCTGCGGATCTCTGGGAACGCATCGGCTCCCAATCGTCGCCCCCAATCGGCTATGCATCGCCAATGGGGAGCCGGGCGCGTCCCTCTACAGTCCCAAACTAGTCTGGTGACGATGTGTCTAGTACGGCTTATCGTTTCTGAAAATATGTCTGACTGTCTTTTTTCATATTCTTGCTTACCACATCCGCCTGTAGGAGGACGTGCCCGACGCGACGCCAGTGGGGCCCTGTTCTTCCTCGGCGGATGGTCCTCCAGGGAGCAGCAGGTGCACCGCCGAGGGGGGCCCGAGAGAGAGCCTACCCCGCCGGGGAGCGAGTGCGGAGGCGCCAAAGTCATCGGCCCTTGAGCCCGTGCCGCCCCTCGCGCTTCCCCGCGAGTGAGAGAGGTCGCTCGCCGACGCCTCCTCGTCCTCCTCCTCATCCTCCTTCACCTCCTCCTCCTCCTCCTCCTCCTCCTCGTCCTCCTCCTCCTTCTCCCCCTCCCCCTCCCCCTCCCCCTCCTCCTCGCCGCGGAGGACTTGCGACGGGAGGATGCTCGCGCTTGTTGGCCTCTGGGGGGCCCAAGGGGCCCTCAACGCAACGGCTCCGGATGAGAAGGCGGTCCGCCGGAAGGGGTCCCGACTTCTGGGGAGCCACGCTGCGACAAGAGCCATGGCGTCCAGTGCGTTGGGGAGGGGTGTGGGGGGGGATTGGGGGGGGGCGTTCTGGGACACTGAGGGCGTCTCATGGGTTCCAGGGGGGTCCTCCATCCGGGGTGTCCACGGGGTCCTCCTCTGTTCTCCTGGCCCTTCGCCTCCTCCTCAGTTGATCATGCCCCTCCTGCTCCTCCTGCTCCTCCTCATCATCCTCATCATCCTCGTGCATCTCCTGCTCCTGCTCCTCCTCATCCTGCTCCTCCTCCTCCTCCTCCTCCTCCTCCTCGTGCATCTCCTGCTCATGCTCCTCCGCCTCTCCGACCCCTCCGACTCCTCATCCTCCTACTGCTGCTGCTCCTTTTTATCATGCTGCACTCCCTCGACCTCTTGCTGCTCCTCCTGCTTCGTCTCCCTGTGCCCCAGCCTCAGTTGAGGCAAAACAAGTGGTTAATCTCATCAAGCAATTAAGACCCCCCCCCTTCCGGCGAAAGTACAACGCACCCGGCACCCCAGAAGCGTTACCCTGGCACCTCGCACCTTTATGTGAACGCAGACGAGTCTGCTCGCCGAAACAAGCAAACCGCCTGAGACATTCTCGCAATATGGTCTCCCTGGTTCTGAAACAAGCGCCTCGCCTGAGACATCCTCAGAAACTGCTCTGGACGCAGACGAGTCTGCGTCAGGTGGTCGGTCTGGGCGAGAACTGGAGTGGCCGCGCGTCTTCCCAGCGCGCTTCCCAGCAATGGAGATCCCAGCTTTGAAAAGGAACCGTCCGTGTCTACGATGGGGGGCGAATACTTTTGGCGGTGCGGGTGCTAAGATAACGCGCCGTGCGTGGCGGGGGCGATATCCTCGGATTCACTGCCCCACACGACGGCTGGGGAAAAAACATGTTTCAATAGGGGTGGTAATAATAATCGTATAGGAGAAGGATGATGAAGAACATGAAAAAAGGGGCGGAGGTAGGAAAGAAGCAGGGGAACCCGTCGGTTTTCGGATCTTTATGATTATCAGTATCCTAAATGTTATTCGTATTGTTACTCTTCTTATTGGTTTCAAACTTCTTATTTGTATTAGTATTGGTCTTATTGTACTTCTTGTCTTTTTGGACAAGCTGTCGTAATTATGTTGTGCGGGTGCGGTGCTAAGATTACGCGCTTTGCAGCCGCTTTGGCTCAAGACCTTAGCAAGGATTTGCTCTGCTGTTGGTCATGGGGTTGACTGGCGCAGTTTAAGCCCGGAGGGCTTTGGTGAAGTTGCTCCTCACGGCTGCTGCGGCGTACTCGGTTGTGGTTCGCCTCCACAGGGATTCCCAGGACAGCGAGGTGATCGCAGCCTTTCGAAAGGTGCTCCGCAAGGCGCACCCGGACAAGGGCGGGGCAAACGAGCACGCGAAGCAGCTGAACGCCGCGAAGGAGCGTTGGGACCAGGCCAAGAAACCGAGGGGCCGCCCGAAACGCGCAGAGCAGCCCGAGGCGCCTGCAGGGGCGGCCGCTGCTGACGGCGCGCCTGGCGAAACCTTCCAGGATCTGATCGTCTGGGAGGTCTCCACGAAAGCCTACCGCATCCAGTCCGCGGGCGTGCTGCTCACGTACTTCGGGGTGCAGGGCCTGACGCAGTGGCGGCAGTTTCTGGCGCACGCGCGCTCGAAGGAGAAGGCTTGGAAGGTGCGGTACTGGTGCGCGACGCTGGGGCGGACGAAGACGGGGCGTCTGCACGTCCACCTCATGCTGCAGTTCACGCAACCTGTGGACAGGACGAGCCGCAGCTTCGCCTTCAAGGGGTGGACGGGCCCGAGAGCAGACGCGAACGACTTGCTAGGCGGTGGCTTTTGTCGGAAACGGCTGCAGGACAGCCTCAACAGGGGCATGTTCTATTGCTGGGCAGATAAGTTGGGCACGGTCAGGGACGAGGAAGGCCGGCAGTGCACGGGCGGCAACTACGAGCCCGCCTGGACGGACGCAGCTTGCACCTACACCGTGAAGAGCCGGTGGGCGCAGGACTTGTGGCAGGCGTACAAGCTCTCGCACGGCACCTACGACGGTTACCTCTACAAGACACGGGACGGGGTCTTAGCGAAAAAGAGGAACCTTGACGCTTGCAGAGAGCGAGAGGCACGGGACAAGCAGACAGCGGAGATCGAGGCAAGGACCAAGAGGCTCCGCGGGAACAAGGACCTCTTCCCGGGCTTCCCCACGGTGCCCGACGCTGTGGCGTGGCTAGAGCAGTGCAAGGCCCGTTGCGGCGCGCAAGCCAGACAGTACCACTGCCACCCGCCCTTCTGCGGGCAGCTGCGGCGCCTTCCGGGGCGTCTTCGGCCCGACCGTGGAAGGGGCGGGGGTAAGGGCGTTGTCCAGAGTTTGCGCTGGCGCGCCCACAGGTGGACAACTCACGGTACCCAGTCTTGGTGGTCCTCGGCAGGTCGCACACAAGGACGACGGAATGGGCCCAGACCTTGTTCCAGAACCCTTTGGTGGTGAAGGTGGGCAAGCTCGAACATTTCCCAGAGTCGATGAGGGCCTTCGACAGGGAGAAGCACGACGGGCTGGTCCTCGACGACCTGAGGGACTTGCAGTTCTTGGTGGACCACCAGGACAAGGTCCAAGGCAAGTGCAACTCGCCCGTCGAATTTGCTTCCACTCCGGGCGGCGAGTTGGCCTACTGGAAGGACTTGTTCGCAGTTCCCGTGGTCGCCACCTGCAACTACACCACGAAGAACCTCGGGTTCCTGGACACCGACGACTTCTTGGCGAACCCAGGGAACCGCACGCTGGTGCACTTCCCGCCTAACACGCAGCCAGACCAGCCACCGCCCGCACCTCCACCCGCACCGACCCGGAGCCTTAGGTACCGCACTAAGGCGCCGCCGCACCAGCCGCCAGCCGCGCTTTGACTCTCAGGGGTTGCACGAGAGAAAAGGCTTGCGCACCAGGTCGACTCCTGGATTTCTGGGCACAGTTGTGGGGGGGGCCCATGTTCTAGGAGGAACTTTGTTCGTCTGTAGGCACAACCCGCCTGGTGAGAGAGGTACCAGAAAATCGCATTTTTCCCGTAGGAAAACTGCAATTCTACGTATGGGGGCTGATGCAGAAGCAGAGTGCGAGCGACGTCCAGTGATACAATTCCGTGGACTGTGCCGCGCCGTGCCGCGCCGTGCCGTGCCGTGCCGTGCAGGTTCGTGCTGCGACGTACCGTGCCGTGCCGTGCCGCGCCGTGCCGCGCGGCGCCGTGCCGTGCCGTGCCGTGCCGTGCCGTGCCGTGCCGTGCCGTTACGCGCGGCGCCGCGCCGCGCCGCGTGCCGGGCCGCGCTGCGCCGTGCCTTGCGAGTGCCGCGCGGCGTCGCGCCGCGCCGTGCCGCGTCGTGCCGTGCCGCGCGTGCCGTGCGGCGCCGTGCCGTGCTATGCCATCCCGTGCCGCGCCGCGCCGTGCCGTGCGGCGCCGTGCAGTGCTTGGCCTTGCCGCGCCGTGCCGCGCCGCGCCGTGCCGCGCCGCGCCGTGGCGTGCCGCGCAGTGCCGCGCCGTGCCGCGCCGCGGCCCCGCGCGGGGCCGCGCGGCGACGCGTCGCCGCCTCGCGGCCCTCTTCATCTCCATTGCCATTGCCGCAGCTTCCCAGGCTCAAGCCTTCCTGCCGCGCGGGCCACTGCGCGCGCGGGAGACGCGCCCCAGATGCCAGTCGTCAGCGAGATGCGGCATCCCAAGGGCTTCAGCTTCCAGCAGGAGCGCAGGATCGTACTTCTCCGCGAGGCCACCCAGAGCGACGGCAGCCACATGGAGTGGTCGGAGATCGCGAAGAAGGTGAAGAACCTCGTGGGCAAGAGGCCACGACCACGACACGTGGCGAACACGTACCGCCGGGCCACGGCGCGCCGCGGGCCCCTCAAGTACGATTACAAAAAGTGCGGCGAGAAGCCGGGCAAGGTGACAAAGGAGGTGGAGCGTTTCTTGGTGAAGAAGCTGAAGGAGTTGCGATGCCGCACCGAGTGCACGTCGACTACGTTGCAATTGCTGTTGGCTTCCGAAATGAAAGTCAAGGTTACGGTGCGCTACGTGCGCAAGGTCCTCTCGAAGAAAGGCCTTCGCTGGTTACCCAAGAGGCAGAAGCGGTTATACTCCAAGGGTCAGAAGAAAGCCCGCCTGACGTTTGCGAAGAAGGTCCTGAGGATGACTTCGGCGGAGCTGAACACGGCTTTGGCATGCGCCATGGACGGCGTCATCCTTGCGATGCCCCCGAAGGACAAGACCGAGCGGATGAACTTCTGCAGGCACGGGGAAGAGTACATGTGGCGAAAGAACACGGAGGCATTCACCCCGAAGCTCTCTGGCGACGACGAGTACAGTGGCCAGGTCCAACTGGCTCGGGCAGTGCCCATGTGGGCCGGCTGCGCCGCGGGCGGGCTGTCCATTGTAGCGTTCCACCCCACGAAGAAGCTCTGCGGCGAGGACTGGGCGAAGATCGTGAACCGGGCGACCTCGTGAAGGCCGTGAAGTCGGTGAACCCGAAGAGGAAGAAGGGCCCGTGGTCCGTCCTCTGCGACAACGAGTCTTTCTTGCGGGCGAAGGTCAGCAACGCCGCGGTGAAGGCGGCGGGGGTTAAGCTGTGGAAGATGCCAGCAAAGTCCCCTGACTTGAACCCCGCAGAGCGGTGCTGGTCTTGGCTGCGTCGGAAGCTGCGGCTCATGGACTTGGACGACGCCGTGAAGAAGCGGCCCGTGCTGGGGAAGACGGCGTACAGGGCGCGGGTTCGGAGCGTCGTGAAGAGCAAGAAGGCGCAGTCCGTGGGGGCGGCGCAGGCGAAGCTGATGAAGCGCGTCTGCAGGGAAGTGGTGCGCAAGAAGGGCGCGGCCGCGGGCTTCTGAGCGGGCCAAGCCCCCGGGCCGCATTGGCGCGTTCACAGGTGGACAACTCATCAGCGTCGGCCGTTTGCCGCGCGGGTGAGCACTCCATCTGCCCTGGCCGTTGGCCGTGCAGGTGAGAAAAGTCCGCGCGGGGGGTACTATAGTTTTGACCATAAGACGTCATGCTCTCGACGCCCCCTGCCCCCCCGTAGAATCTTAGCGACATGTTTTGGGTCGGGCGGCGGTTCGACTCCGATGGGCTCTCACCCTGTAAGAATATAATAATATATATTTAAAACAGGGTGATAATTACTCCGTCCCATTTACAATAGGGCCGGAAAACACTCCGACTTGAACCCATTCACAGTAAACCACTCCGCTTGGGTCACGTTTGATCGTCCGTGTCATCATCCCCATCGACCCTGTCCTTATCATGCCAACGCGATGTTTCATTGTATTCCTTGTTGCATTGATGCTGTGAGACCCTGGGCATCCTTCTCCAATGCGGTCGCTCTCGGTTCACTGGTTGGCCGTCCCAGAGGGCCCACAAAGGCTCGCGAATCCGCATCAAGGCACCTTTGCACCCTGATCGGTCCTCCGCGGCACGCGTGACCAGCGAGGCAATTCTCATCTTGTCAAAAACTTTAGTACCCCCGAAGTATTCTGAAGCTTATTGTTATTATTAGTTTTATCTTTATTATTATTCGGAGCATGGTTCTTCTTCGTATCATCATTCTTACGGTTAGTATTACTATTATTCATAGTTTTATCATTATGATTATCACTCTTACTATTATCATTATTACTCTCAGTGTTATTTTTTGTGTTATTACAATTGTCATTATTATTGCTATTCCCATTACTCGTATGTCACTCCTATTCTTATTCTTATTGTTGTTATTATTTATTGCTATTCCAATTCCACTTGGGATACCACCCGAGCCGGGGCGCGGGACTTTTTGATGTTCGTTCCATTTGCGCGTTGCTCATCATATCGTTCTGCGAAAACTGTCCCCCATAATTCCCTATCTAGGCTCTGCCTAGAGGGTTCTTAATTTGTTCCCCACATCCAAAGTGGGGTTCTTGTTCCCCGCATCCAAAGTGGGGTTCTTGTTTTCTCTGGACACCCCGCGCAGGAACAGGAACACACACACACAACCTTATCAGCATCATCGATGATGCTCTCTCACATGCTTAGTCACTCACATACTCATCATCATCATCACTCGCACTCTCTCACACGCTCATGAACATCATCATCATCATCGGCATCGGCCTCATCCTCATTCAAACATCATCATCGCCACCACCACTCACAATCTATCATCATCCTCTTCACCACTCATCTTCACCCCCACTCATCATCCTCATCCTCATCATCGTTGAGTAAATTGTGAGGAAGTCTCAGGCGGGAGCCCCCTCCCTATGGGGAGGGCAGATCATGTTGGTAATCCGAGCGGGTCATCGGAATCCTGTAACTGTCGTCACTTTTGAGCTCCCCAGGCGTGAAAATGGAGGAAGTCTCAGGCAGGAGCCTCGTCTGTGAGTGAATTGGGGGGAAGTCTCAGGCGGGAACTCCCTCCCTATGGGGCCCGCAGATCATGTTGGTAATCCGAGCGGGTCATCGGAACCTTGTAACTGTCGTCACTTTTGGGTTCGTCAAGCATGAATTTGGAGGAAGTCTCAGGCGGGAGCCTCGCCTGTGAGTAAATTGTGAGGAAGTCTCAGGCGGGAGCCCCCTCCCTATGGGGCCCGCAGATCAGGTTGGTAATCCGAGCGGGTCATCGGAATCCTGTAACCGTCGTCATCTTTGAGCTCCCCAGGCCTGAAAATGGAGGAAGTCTCAGGCGGGAGCCTCGTCTGTGAGTGAATTGGGGGGAAGTCTCAGGCGGGAGCTCCCTCCCTATGGGGCCCGCAGATCATGTTGGTAATCCGAGCGGGTCATCGGAATCCTGTAACTGTCGTCACTTTTGGGCTCCTCGAGCCTGAATTTGGAGGAAGTCTGAGGCGGGGGCCTCGTCTGTGAGTGAATTTTGGGGAAGGCTCAGGCGGGAGCCCCCTCCCTATGGGGCCCGCAGATCATGTTGGCAATCCGAGCGGGTCATCGGAACCTTGTAACTGTCGTCACTCTTGAGTTCGTCAAGCCTGAATTTGGAGGAAGTCTCAGGCGGGAGCCTCGTTTCTGAGTGAATTGTGGGGAAGTCTCAGGCGGGAGTTCCCTCCCTATGGGGCCCGCAGATCATGTTGGTAATCCGAGCGGGTCATCGAAACCCTGTAACTGTCGTCACTTTTGGGATCTTCAAGCCTGAATATGGAGGAAGTCTCAGGCGGTTTTGTCCATGGCGGAGGCGAAGCAGCTCGCGGCAGAGCTGGGCTTCGCGCTGCCTTCCGCCTGAGCGCGGCTGCGCCTCGCTCGAAGCCCGCGGGGTTGTCCCAACGGCTTGGTCTTGCGCGCCAGCGGCTCGCGGGGTTGCCCCGACAGCCTGGCCCGCGGGGTTGTCCCAACGGCTGCGCGACGCGACCAGTAGAAAACGCGCCTGTGCTGGCCGTGGCGGCGACGGCGCCGAGGCACATCGACATGCGCGCTCATGCAACAGGAAGGGGAGGAGGTGGCGGGGCGCGGAACAAACCGGGGGGCGAGGATGGGGACAACGTAAGGAGTGGAAGGGGGGCCCGCGCCAAGGCGACAGGAAATATACGCAGAAGAGACAACCAGGACGCCTCACCAACCACGAAGACGACGGTGATTGTTTTTTTCCAGATTCGCCCAGAGGATTCTTATGTGGGGTTCTTCCGTCGGAGTAGTTTTCTCTGGACACCCCGCGCAGGAACATGAACACACACACACACCCACTCACACTCACTCACACCCTCTCATCATCAACCTCATCAGCATCATCGATGATGCTCTCTCACATGCTTAGTCACTCACATACTCATCATCATCATCACTCGCAGTCTCTCACACGCTCATGAACATCATCATCATCATCATCGGCATCGGCATCACCCTCATTCAAACATCATCATCGCCACCACCACTCACAATCAATCATCATCCTCTTCACCACTCATCTTCACCACCACTCATCATCCTCATCCTCGTCATCGTTGAGTAAATTGTGAGGAAGTCTCAGGCGGGAGCCCCCTCCCTATGGGGCCCGCAGATCATGTTGGCAATCCGAGCGGGTCATCGGAATCCTGTAACTGTCGTCACTTTTGAGCTCCCCAGGCCTGAAAATGGAGGAAGTCTCAGGCGGGAGCCTCGTCTGTGAGTGAATTGGGAGGAAGTCTCAGGCGGGAGCTCCCTCCCTATGGGGCCCGCAGATCATGTTGGTAATCCGAGCGGGTCATCGGAATCCTGTAACTGTCGTCACTTTTGGGCTCCTCAAGCCTGAATTTGGAGGAAGTCTCAGGCGGGAGCCTCGTCTGTGAGTGAATTGTGAGGAAGTCTCAGGCGGGAGCCCCCTCCTTATGGGGCCCGCAGATCATGTTGGTAATCCGAGCGGGTCATCGGAATCCTGTAACTGTCGTCACTTTTGAGCTCCCCAGGCCTGAAAATGGAGGAAGTCTCAGGCGGGAGCCTCGTCTGTGAGTGAATTGGGAGGAAGTCTCAGGCGGGAGCTCCCTCCCTATGGGGCCCGCAGATCATGTTGGTAATCCGAGCGGGTCATCGGAACCCTGTAACTGTCGTCACTTTTGGGCTCCTCAAGCCTGAATTTGGAGGAAGTCTCAGGCGGGAGCTCGTCGCTGAGTGAATGTGAGGAAAGTCTCAAGCGGGAGCCCCCTCCCTATGGGGCCCGCAGATCATGTTGTAATCCGAGCGGGTCATCGGAACCTGTAACTGTCGTCACTTTTGGGCTCCTCAAGCCTGAATATGGAGGAAGTCTCAGGCGGTTTTGTCCAGGGCGGAGGCGAAGCAGCTCGCGGCAGAGCTGGGCTTCGTGCTGCCTTCCGCCTGAGCGCGGCTGCGCCTCGCTCGAAGCCCGCGGGGTCGTCCCAACGGCTTGGTCTTGCGCGCCAACGGCTTGCTCTTGGGCGCGCAAACGGCTCGCGGGGTTGTCCCGACAGCCTGGCCCGCGGGGTTGTCCCAACGGCTGCGCGACGTGACCAGTAGAGAACGCGCCTGTGCTGGCCGTGGCGGCGACGGCGCCGAGGAACATCGACATGCGCGCTCATGCAACAGGAAGGGGAGGAGGTGGCGGGGCGCGGAACAAACAGGGGGGCGAGGATGGGGACAACGTAAGGAGTGGAAGGGGGGCCCGCGCCAAGGCGACAGGAAATATACGCAGAAGAGACAGCCAGGACGCCTCACCAACCACGAGGACGACGGTGATGGTTTTTTCCAGATTCGCCCAGAGGATTCTTATGTGGGGTTCTTCCGTCGGAGTAATTTTCTTAAAGGAGCCGGGCAGTGTAAAACGCCCCGGGCGGTTCCCCCAGTCCCCGCCCCGCGGTTCCCCCAGTTGCGCCCCCTGGGTTCACCCAGCTTAGCTTAGCTTAGCTTAGCTTAGCTCAGTTTGTCTCATCTTAGCTTAGCTTAGCTTAGCTTAGCTTATCTCATCTTAGCTTAGCTTAGCTTATCTTAGCTTAGCTTTAGCTTAGCTTTAGCTTATCATTAGCTTAACTTTAGCTTAGCTT